CTCGAACTCCTGAGTTCAAACAATCCGCCCACCTCGGCCTCCCAGAGAGCTAGGATTACAGGCGTGAGCCACCGCGCCCGGCCGAGGGTAAAGCTTTTGATGTAGGGGCATGGGCTTGGAAGGCAGGTAGCCCTGGGTATGAACTTCGGAGTCCAGCTAGGGCAAGAAACTTAACCGGGTCTTCAATTTTCTGCTTTCCTCATCTGTAAACCGGAAGTAGATCTGGCAAATGCACATTCGGATACAACTCCATGGCTCCAGTTCTCCACCTGGCCCTGTCCTAAAATGCAGGTAGGCTCTGGTTCTCATTGCTCTGAGAGAGAGGGTGGAAATGGAGGGAGGGTAACGCTGGATGGGGAAGTATTGTCCTGTGAAGCCACCCTGTGATATTTAAGCCAGAATAGATGACAGCCACCAGGGGACAGTACACCGCAGCTGGGACTGGGGTACTCTCAGCTGGCTAGCAGTGCATGCAGGCCGGCCCTGTTCGGGGGTTTCGTTTTGTTTTGTTTTTATGCAACCTGTGTTTTTCTCAATGTTGGGGACCTTCTCGGGGAGGCTCAGTTATGCAGAGGGCTGTTGCAAGGAGTACGGCATACAGAGGGCGCCTGGTGCATCCTAGGCAGTCAGTAACGGTGGCCTTGCAGACCCTGTGGCCCCACTCAACGTCAGGCCAGGCCTGCTATGGGCTGTCCCTCCAGAGGTCACTGCATTTCTAACTAGCTCCCCAGCTGAGGATTCTTGGGCAGAGAAAAGTTTGAGATTCTGTCCTGGGCCTCTCTTGTGTGAGAGCTGACATTTGGCCACTGGTCCCCGTCAGCAGGTGTCCTGGCCTGACACAAAGACACGTGTCACCGCATCTTTGCCCCTAAATGGGTCTACCCTTCCTGCTCTCAGGCCTGCTTCTCTGTAGCTCTGCACACGTTCAGCGCCCAGTTATCCTGCTGCGTTTACAAGGGGAGGCTTTTTGCTTTAAGCCCTTGCTTGCTGGAGCCCCTGAGTTAGACATTATCAAACATTTACTTATAATAACAATAATAACTATTATTTATCGAGTACTCACTAGGTGCCAGATGTTATTGTAAGAGCTTGACATGTATTAACTCAGCTAATCCTTACAGCCACTCTAGGAAGTTGGCACTGCTGTTGTCCTTATGCAAATGAGGATTTGGGGACTCAGAGGGGTTAAATGATTTGCCCAAGTTCATACGCCGAACAAGTGGCAGAGCTGGGATTTGAACTCAGGCACCTGGGTTCCTAACTTTCCACACTCTACAGATACATTCTGTGGAAAACATTCTGGAGCTAGTCATGAGCAAATCCGGCCGAGGGACTCTGTGGTGACCTGCCCACGGGCTGCGTGGGTGGAGACTTGCTTGTTTTCACCATCAACTAGCACTGGCACCTAAATTGCAGGGTGCTTTGTTGAGGAGGCACATTATAAGCTAATCAGATCAATGCAGAAAAAGCAAATTACCTGTAATTAGAGACGATTAGTGAAATAGTAAGATTATGCCCATATAAAATGACGTCTAACGCAGGGCCCATGGCCCGGGCAGGACCTGCAGCTTCCTCAGGGTGGCTTGCTCTGGGCCTGCTCTGGCTTGTCGGTCCTGGCCCCGGTCTCCCCTTGCTCCCTGCGGCCCTCCCCAGCTGGGACCTTACCCACGGTGGCTGTCAGCCCAGTGCTGAAGGAGTTCTGGTGTAGCAGGTGCAGGAAAGACGTCTTGCCCACGTTGGAGTCTCCCAGGAAGATGACATGGAAGAGGTAATCAGGATTGGCCTGAGGCTTGCTGGCCATGGGGTCCTCCAGGGAAGGGGTCAGCCCAGCCTCTCTGGAGCCTGTCCCTGGATCTTCAGGCCTGCTCTCTGCCCTTGGCCCCCCGGATTGCGGGAGGCCTTGTTCTTTTGTGTGAGCAGCCGTGGGTGGGGGCCTGGCTTGGGCTTCCAGCTCAGCCACAGTGGAGAGGGCCTGTGTGGGCTCCTGGGGTCCTGCCCCAGCCCCAGGCTGAGCCCGCGTGGGGGAGAGGGGAGGAGAGCCCCTTGGAGGCGAGGGTCTCCCAGGAGCGGAGGCTTCCGGTTCTGCCTGAGCCTGTGGCGTGTCAGACGGGAGAGGAACAGGCAGAGCATCTGGCTGCGGCAGCTCTGAATGTCCAGTTTCCAGGCCATGACCCTCAGCTGACCGCTCTGAACCGAGGTCCGGCCCCCCTCCGTCCGCTCGTTTTCCTTCCTTGGCCTTGGGTTTCTGGTCCAGGCCGTGGTCGGGGCGGGCAGGCAGCCCACCTGGCCCAAGGACCTGGCCAGGGGCTTCTCTCAGCCCCTCAGGATGGGCCTCCTCCTGCACAGCGGGGCCCGGCTTGCCCTGGTCCGGCCCCTCTGTAGGAGCCTGACCCACAGACTCCAGGTCCCGGGAGGGCCCAGCCGGCTCCAATGTTGGGGCTCTGGCTCCCAGGGCCCCCGGTTGTGGCTCAGAGCTGGGGGCAGGCAGGTCGTGATGGAGGGCCTCTGTCTGCCTGGGCGGCTTGGCTGGGATAGGGCCAGGCCCGGGGCCCTGGTCATCTGTGTCTGAGGCCTGGAACTGTGTGCTGGTCCCAGCTTGGGCCTGGGGAAGGAGAGCGTTCACATGGGGAGGGGGCTCAGCCTCCAAAGGAATGAGCACTTTCAGGGCAGCTGCCACCAGGCTTCCTGACTCCCCTGCTGGAGCTCCCGGGAGACCCCTGAGGAAGCGGCCCTCAGGTCTGGGCCCCGGCTCCTTGCCAGGGTCTGGGCCGTGAGTGACTTCTACAGGGTGCTCTGGGTTGATGTCCTGTCCATCTGGGTCCACTCCTTTCCCGTCCGTGGTGCTGGAAGGCACCCCAGGGGGGCTCCTCGGAGCCGCATCCAGATCTGAAGACGGCTCCTGACCAAATAGCAAGGCGTGTGGCTCTGAGATGGAGATCTGCCTGACCACACGGGGTGTCTGGGGGCCTGAGGCCGCTCTCGGGGTTGGGGGCGGGCTCCAGGAGAGCTGTAGGGCTCCGTGTGGAGGGCTGTGGAAGCTGCTCAGGAGCTGGCTCCAGTCCTCGTGGTCTCCAAACAGCCTGGGCAGGGGAACCTCCTCAGGGGAGATGGCCTGAAGGTCTGGGGCTGGTCTGTCTGCTCTGGAGACACTAGAAAGGAAGCAGGGAAGTCAGGGGAGGGGCAGGTAGAGGTGTCACACCTGTCCCGCCTGCATCCCTCACCATCCTCCACTGCTTGCCCCCAGCTGGCCCTCCTCCCAGACCTTGCTCAGGCATCCCTCTCACCTGGCGTACGCACCCCACTGCTCCCCCTCATCCAATCCTGCTCATCCTCAAGGCCCACATGAAGCCTCCTCCAGGAAGCCTTCCTTGAGCATTCTGGCCCATGCCACTTCTCTGGGCTGTCACAGGTAGAGTGAGCGCCTGCCAGGGACGCACACTGCACTAGACCCTGTGTGCATGTGTGTACACGTGCACGCACATGTGCATGTTCTAACTCCAGCCGTGTGGTATTGGGCCCAGGTCATTCCCTTTTCTGTACCTCAGTTTCCGTATCTGAGAAGTGGGCCTGATAATCCCAGCTTGGCAGAGTTGTTGTGAGGTTTAAGGAGAGAGGAGGTGTGGGCACCACGTGCTAACCAGGGCCTTGGAGAACCCAGAGCCCCATGCCCCTCTCCCAGGAGCCCTGGTATCCACGCCAGTCCAGAGATGGCAGCCACTTGCCTGGTCTCTTCCTCCATCTGCCAGGACACTCGGCCCCTGGCAGCATTTAGGTGCTTCCTGGTCACCTGCAGCTGTCCCCGCACCTCCTGTAGCTGCCCTGCTAGGTCGCGCTCAGCCTCCCGAAGCTGCTGGTTCTCCGAGTTGGCTTCCTGGTGTGTGCTGCTGAGGCGGTGCAGCTGGGCCTCCAGCTGCAGGGTGTGGGGGGTGAGGAGGGGAAAAGCCTCCCACGGCCGCCATGGGACACAGGTACCCGCCCCCTGCCTGGGCCCCTGGGGACCCAGGTCAAACCAGGATTAGGAGGGGGTGGTCACCCTCATCGGCCTAACTGGCTCCGTGACCTCCCACCCAGGAGGGACATTTGAAATGCTGGGGCAGGGAGGAGAGAGATTTTGCGAGAAGTGTAAAGTGCCAGCACCACAGTGCTGGAAACGTAAGTCAGATCACACCCTCCCCTGCTCAAAGCCCGGCACTGCCTGCTGGTTCCTGAGCCCCTTCTGGTCTGCAGGGAGCTCCTGATCCAACAGTGAATCCCACGACTCAGAGCAGGAGAGCTGCATGACAAGCGGAGTGGAAGGCAAAGTTCTCGCGATGGCCCCAGGGCCCTGCACAGCCTCCCCCGCAGCCCAGCCCCCGCACCTCCCACTGCGGCCCTGACCTCCTTTCCCACTGCTGTCCCTCCTTCAGCCTGTTCCTGCCCATGGGTCTGCTCGTCGCTCCTCCAACGGTCACAGCACACGCCCACCCCAGGGCCTTTGCACTTGCCGTGCCTCAGCCTGGAGTGCCTTTGCCCCTGAGATGTCCCGGCTCACCTCCCCGCTCTTCCGGTCTTCATTCCACTGTCATCTCACCAGGCCTTCCTGAACTCTCTGATCAACTCGTGTCAGCTACCATCCAAACCTCCCTGCCCTCTCCCTGTTTCACTTTATTCTCCCTAGCACGTGTCGCTGTCTTGCGTGATGTATGTGTGTGTGTGTACATATGTACAATGATTTATGTTTTCACGTTGCATATTTTGCTTATGCGTTCATCGCCATCTCCCTGGCTGGTGGTACCTCTGTGGGCAGGGGCGTGTCTATCACGTTCCTCAGAATCTAGAGCGGTGCCCGGCTCAGCGCAGGGGCTTGCTAAGCAGCCATGGGGGGAGGAACGAATGGTCTGGAGGGGAGGAGCTTCACGTCCACAGGACAGGACGACACGGCCCCACGTGGAAAGCCCGGTCTCCTCTCTCGGCAGAAGGGGCCCTGCCTCAACTTCCAAGGAACGGCTGCCACAGAGGCCCCTGGGAGGCCAGCCAAGGTGGTGGTGGGGAAGGCGCTGGGGACCTTGTCCGGGGCTGAAGGGGTGCTGGTTGCCCTGGTTACCATGGAGGGCGGTTTTAGTAAAGTCGGCGTCTGCAAGCCGAGGCAGGACAGGAGAGCGGGGCCGGGTCTCAGACCCAGACACTCAGCCACAGTTCCACCCAGAAGTGACTACAGGCTCCGAGACCCGCCGTGCCGGGGCAGCGGGCGACCCGACCCGACTCGGGAAGCCGGGTCAGATTCAGAGACCAGAACAGCTGTGCTCTGTACAGCACCTGCTGTACGTGCCGGCACTGTCTCAGGCCCTCTAACTGTCACAGCGGCCTCCTAATAGAGAGTTCTCATCTCCATTTCTCTGATGAGGAAACCAAGGCTCAAAAATGTTAAAAACCTGTCCAGAGTCTCTCAGCCGACAATGGAGACGAGAGTTGAACACCAAATCCCCCGCCACCAAGCCTCTCCGACGCTGAGACCACGTGTTTGTCCATCTCAAAGTGCTTTCCCATTTACTACCTCATTTGACACAACCCACCTGGGAGATGCAGAGGATGTGGCCATCCCCATTTTACAGATGGAGGAACTGAGGCCGGGACAAGCCAAGTTATTTCCTCGGGTTCACAAGGCTCTTGAACAGAGCACCAGGGATTTGCACCTGGACCTTCTGACTCCCAGCCCAGTGCTCGCGCCACACTACCTGGCCTCATCTCAGAAAAGGGGCCAGGACACCTCTCTCCCAGAGGGCTGCTCCCTATGGGAGCCCAGACGGCCCAGGGAATCCTGAGGGCTGGGTGGGGGCTTCAGGCTGACTATCCAGCGACCAGAGAGGCTGGCGCAGTGCTGGGAGGCGGGCGGCAGAGTCTGGCAGCCTCCGAAAGGGGGTTCCCGGGAGGCCCGAGCGCTCACCTCCGTCTGGCCCTCCGCCAGCCGCTGCACCTCACGCTCCTTGGCCTCCAGCACCTCCTGCATCTGGGAGCTGAGGGCCAGGCCCCGGGAATCGCTCTGTGGAGCAGACAGGCTCAGCCCTGCCCTGTAGTCTGGCCAGCTCTCCCCACGCTCCACCTCCACCCAGGCCCGGGGTGCAGGGGCCAGGAAGCCCCAGCAAGGAGGGTTCTCTGGACAGCCACCCCAGCTCGGGCCTAGATGGTGGCAACAAGGACACTGAGCCCCAGAGAGTGGAAGGACCAGCTCTGGGGGATAGCAAGACCTGGAAGAGATGGGAAGGGGGCCCAGGCTGGACGCTGCCCACCCCGTCTCCCTGGGCAACAGGAGCTGCCCAGGGGAGGGAGAGGGTCCACCCCAGCAGCCTCCTGTCGCCCCACACTGGCCAGTCCCCAGCCCCACTACGTAGCCGGCAGAGCAGGCCCAGGCAGGGGCTGGGGGAGAGCCAGGCTGCCGGCGGGAGCCCACCTCGGCCTGCAGCTGCTGCTTCTCCCGGCGGATCTGCTGCTCCATCTCCTCATAGAGCTGCTGGACCTCGCGGTGGTGGTCAGAGTCCCGCCTGGAACGGGGGAAGGGGGGGCCAGGCAGCCCATTAGCACCTCTGGGGCTCTGCTGCTGGCAGGGGTGATCAGGGCTTGGGTTTGGAGTCCACCCTACAGCTCGCCTCACCCTGCCAGCAGTCGCTGACCCCCGTGCCCCTGAAAACAGCCATCCCGATAGCAACCCCGTGACCCACATGGCTTTGACACTGGTCCCCTTATCCCACCATGCTGACTCCTGTAACCATTACCAGCTACCTTGGCCCTGTCACATGGTCTCCATCACCTCGTCACTGTGTCCCCACTTCCTCTGCCACCCCCCCACCCCATAACTCAGCCCCTGGTTGGGCTGCGCCCTTGCCCACACCAGGGTCACCACGTGCGTTGCCATCTAGCAACCTCGTGAGTGGCACCCCTGGAGTTAGGCAGCACGGTGGCCCTGCGCCGAGACACACTTGCCATTCCCGCTCCTGCTAAAGGGCCAGCTCTGTCCCCACCAACAGGTCCCCCAAGCCACCTCCTTCTCCAGCTCAGCTCTGCTCCACCCAGCTCCCAGGCCCTGCCACAGACCCCGGCCTGCCTGGAGCTGGGGAAATTCAATTCGGACCCGACGGAAGTGTGAGGAGCACCTGCTGTGGGCCCAGCACCGGGGACAAGGCCCCACTCACTTCCGCAGGGTCTGCTCCAGAGCCTCCTTGTCGGCCCGTGCCTCCTGCAGGCGGCCGCTCATCTTGGCCAGGAAGCCTGCCAGGTTGCCTGCCAGCTGGGGCTCCTCCTGCCGCAGCTCCCCCCACAGCTGCCAGATCTCCGTCTGCCTGGGGAGGAGGGAGCCCGAGATGAGATGCCAGGCGGGGCCAAGAAGCAGGGGGAACCCCACTGCTCGGTTTCACTCCCACAGACTTTGGCACCTGGGCCACAGGATCTACTGATACCCTACAAGGTGCAACTCAAATGCCACCTCCTCCAGGAACTGTTCCCAGATGTGCCCTCTCCCTTCTAGAGCCCCCACACCACTTTGTCCCTCTACGATTCAGTGACGAACAGTGGGGAGGGCCCCCGGGAGCCTGGCGGCGCAGGGCTTCCATCTGCCTCTCTCTTCTCCCATTCTGCAGCTGTGTGACCTTCGGCAAGTCCCATGCCCTCTCTGGGCTCATTTGTGAGCTGGGGAGGCCGATACCTACGCGGCAAGGTCACTGGGGAGTGAGAGACACGCCGCGTGAAAGCAGCAGCCCCGCGGGCCCAGGGCTGGCACTCAGCGGACGCTGCTCTCGCACGAATGTTATGAAGTCATCGAGACGGATGCCAGAGCGCCGAGCCCAGGCCAAGCTGCCAAGTGGGTAAATGGCTCCCCACCCGCCTGCCCCACCGGACCACACCCTAATCCCGCCCTGCCGGCCTGACGACGCCTGGCCCCACCCTCCGGGAGGGATCTCGCACTCACAGAGCCCTCGGGGTGGGGCGCAAGCCCGGGCGGAGGGGCAGGGGGACTCCCTCACTGGCTCTAGCAGACCCCAGTGGGGCCGGGGGATATGGAGGGGACCTTTTTCAGGCAGGGCTCCCCTTCTCTGAGCATGAGCGAACCCCATAAGCCCAGAGCCTGAGACAGAGCCCTCCTGCCTCCACACCTGCTCAACCCAGGGCGCCGCCACGCCTGAAATCTCCCCGCTGTGGGAGCCTCTTTTTGAGTTAAGAACAGCACCCTCGGGGACCCTCATGGTTTTAAGAGGCTGAGTCCCCTTAGGAGGCTGCTAGCCCAACTTGGCAATCCTTCCGGAGAGCCACCGACCGACCGGGCAGGACAGGGGTGGGAGGGCGCGGGGCTGGAAGGGCTCTCCGCAAGCAGGTGTCCTCCGCACGGGGTCTAATCCCGCAACAGCTTTTATGCTCATTCTGCAGCCACGGAAACAGAGGTCAGAGGCCAGGCCACTCACCAGCTTTCACGCAGCCGGCCAGCGGTCAAGCCAGCATTTGTACCTGGCTCTACCTGGCGGCCTGCCCCCTTGGCACCATGTCCAGGAGAGCCTCTCCCCACGACACACCACACTGGCCTTACTCAGGAAGTTGGGGGCTGGCCCCCAGCTGCTCCACGAAGGCAAGGAAAGCCTCCTTCTCCTCGGCGTCAGCCTCCTCCAGCGCAGGGAAGCTGGTGGCAGCAGATACCCGCTTAGAGGGCAATGGCCTCCTTCTGCGGAGCCTCTGGGTGCTTGAGCTGGAGTCAAAGATGTTTCCTGTGGGACAGACAGGAACACAGTGGGGGTGGGCCCAGGCCTCTGACCTCCCACCCGGCCCTGCTCCAGCCCTTGGGGAAGTAGTTAGGCCTGCGCCAATCACATTATACGGGGCCATCTTCATATGTTCCTGTCAACCTCAGCAATCCACTCAAGGTAGATGCGGTGCCCATTTTACAGAGTGGCATCTGAGGCCCAGAGATGCCAAAGGACTTGCTGGAAGTCACACAGCAGCTGCATGGTGGTCAACAGAGTCTTCATGCACTCAAGGGATACTTATTGAGCATCTATTATGTGCTGGTGACAAAATTAGCCAAAATCCCTGTCCTTGTGGAGCAGACACTCCATCAAGGGTTGAAAAGGATCTTTCTTTCTTTCTCTTTCTCTTTTTCTTTTCTTTCTCTCTCCCTCTCTTTCTCTTTCTTTTAAGCAAATTTGCTAAGTGAACTAAAGGAATAAAGGGTAATTTCCATTGAGAGAGTGGGAGGATCCACTCTAGATAGTGTGGTCAGGAGTGTCCCAAGGAGGTGACACTGGAACTGAGATGTGAATAACAAGGAATATGCCATATGGATTTCCAGAGAGTGCAGACCAGGCAGAGAGAACAGCATGTGCAAAGGTCCTGAGGTAGGAGCCAAGTTGGCAAGACGGAAGGGTGAGTGGCACTGAGGGAGCCCACGAAGTTGGCGGGTCTGGGTGGTGCAGGCCCCACAGGTCCCAGGAAGGGGGTTAGAGTTTGCTCCATAGGCATTGGGAAGTCCCAGGCATGGTGGGCATGATTGGAGTCAGATACCAAGTGGCCCTCTGGGGCTGCGTGGACAACAATGTTCCCTCTGCATCCCACCCATTCGGTCCCTGATTCCTCCTGCCCACCCTCAGCTTCTCAATCACCAGAACTGGAGCAGCCACCTCCTGGGGGGGCCTCAACCTGTAAAGGCAGGTCCCAGCTTCCCTCTCTGCCATCCTCCAAACTTCTGGAGACTCGGCTGACCCGAGACCCTGGATGGCTTTGTGGACACTGAAAGCTGAGCTGTCAGTGTCTGCAAGGACACCGCACCTTCCATTCCCGGGGCCAGAAGTCCTTCCTTCTTCGTGAGACCCTGCGGAGCATGGTGCCCTACAGCCGGGGCTAAGTCCTGTCGGCCTGCGTCGAGAGGCACGTGCCGGAATGGCTCTGTCCAGTGGGGGCTCAGTGCCTGGGAAGGCCCCACCCCCTACATATCACCCTCTGCTGCTCCCCGGGGCCCAGAATCCCCAGAATATGACCCTCCTCAGGTGGAAACAAGGCCTGCGGTCTCAAGAATGGGAGGTGTTCAACCTCTCGCTTAAGAGAAGACTTTTGTTGGGAGAAGACAAGGGAAGAGTCAGAAAACAAGCCTAGAGGCCTCTCTGGAGGAGGCGGATGCTCAGGGAAGTGCCCTGAACTGTGCTCGGGGATGTTGTGAAGGTCCCCTGGCTGGGAAAGAGGTCGCCTTTCCTGACAACCCAGCCTGACCCGTGCAGGGCCACCACAAGGGGCACCTGGCTGTGCAGGAGGTCCCCAGAGGCCCTCCCAGGACAGACTTACTGAGTCCAGAGCTGAATTCTTCAAGGGAGAGACGTCCCTTCTGCTCCACATCCACCCAGTTGAAGATCATCTCCGGCTCCTCCTCGCTGCCCAGGAAGCTGAACTTGGCCGCCTGGAAGGAAGAGTGAGATGGGTGGATGCTCCCACCGGGGAAGGCTCTGGGCCACCCTCCAAAAAGGAGAGATGTTTGTCTTCGGCCACCCCCACCTCCCCTCTCCCCAGTTTCAGAGTCCCCCAGTAGCTGGAGCCAGGGCTACCCTCAGCCCAACCCCATCCAAGGCAACCCTCTCAGCAGAGCCCTGAACTGGCTCCAGGCCTTTTCCCTTTCTCCATCCAAAATCAAAACCTGTCTGTCCTGGGTCCCTGCCCTTTAGGACCTCGATAAAGGACAGCAGCCAATCCTTCCCACAACGTGCTCACCAGTGTCCAAAAATCATGTGAAACTTGAAAATAAGTCTAAAAGGTGGACAGCACATCCTTTCAGCATTATATAGGGGCGAAGGCCACCCAAGCGTCTTCTAGACTATGGGAATGTACTCAGCTCATCTCATGGGACTGACTAAAGAGTCCAGACTAAATGAAGTCACATGTTAACCTGTAGATTTTATCTAGGAGAGATGTAAATAATTTTTGTCTGATGGAACAGATAACTCCAAAGGTTATTAGCCTGTTGGACATTAACCAGATTTTAAACATCTAACTCAGCAATCTGGCCTGATTTAGTGGCTCACGCCTGTAATCCTAGCACTTTGGGAGGCCAAAGCAGGAGGATCGCTTGAGCCCAGGACTTCGAGACCAGCCTGGGCAACATAGTGAGATCCCGTCTCTTCAAGAAATAGAAAAATTAGCCAGGCGTGGTGGCACACGCCTGTAGTCCCAGCTACCTGGGAGGCTGAGGCAGGAAGATTGCTGGAGCCCAGGAGTTGGAGGCTGCAGTGAGCTATGATGATGCCACTTGCACCCTAGCCTGGGCAATAAAGTGAGACCATGTCTCAAAAAAAAATGTTTTTTGAAAATCTAACTCATCGATCTGATTCTAACATTTCTTTGTTAAATTGCCCAGCTTGTTACAGGCTCTTTGGCCCATTCGTAACATCCCTCATCAATTGATAAGTTAAATAAAGTGTTCCATATGTGTTCACTTTACATTTGCCTACAGGTCATGATTTCACCTTCTTGAAAATTACCCTTTAACAGTTTTGGAGGGTCCGTGGAGACCACGGACTCGCCCAGCAGAGCTGCGTTGCCACAAGTGCGCGTCTCGGGCTCTTTGAGCCCAGGCACTTTTCTTGGCTCTCGAGGGAATCCCGGGTGTGTTACAACTTTGGGTTTGCTGATTCTATGTTTCTCTAGTCTTTTTTTTTTTTTTTTTTGCTTATTTTTTGCTTTTCTTTTGGGTCGTACATGGCTGATGAGTTATTCCTCATTGGTGGCAGTAATGACAGGGAGTTTGACTTTGTGGTCCACTTGGTGATCTCTGTGGGATGCATAATAGAGACCTTGTGCCCGTTGTCTGAGAGATAAGAGAAAAATCTGGTTTGCTAGCCTTTTTGTTGTTGTTGTCGATTTGTTTGTTTTTCCATCTGTGACCTCAGATTGGTTAAGAATGTCATACCCACTGGGAGGGAGGATAGCTCTTTGAGATCTAGACTGGTGAGTTTCGGTGTTTCTGTGTTTACTTTTGACCTGTGGCTGAAATAGTAGAAATGAAGCCAGAAGGCTCTGTGTGTCTGTCTGTCTGTAGTAGAAAGGACTTTAACTCTTATTGTGAGTGTGAAATATTTTTGTACATCTGGAAGGTATTAATAACTTAGGGTAATACGTCTCTTAAAAGATTACTGTGTTGATTGGTTTATAGAGACAAATTAGTACTGAGATAAATCTCATGTTGCTCAAAATAACAAAAAATAAAGAAACTGAAATTCTCATGCTTTACATGTGCTAGACTTAAAAAAAATCTTTCTGGCTGGAAGTGGTGGCTCACACCTGTAATCCCAGCACTTTTGGAGGCTGAGGAGGTGGGAGGATTGCTTGAGTCCAGAAGTTCGAGACCAGCCTGGATAACATGGTGAGACCCCATCTCTACAAAAAATTTTAAAAATTAGCCAGTCGTGGTGGTACGGGCCTGTAGTCCGAGCTACTCGGGAGGCCGAGGTGGGAAGATCACTTGAGCCCTGGAGTTGGAGGCTGCAGTGCGCTATGATCATGCCACTGCAGCCTGGGAGACAGAAAGAGACCTTGTCTCAAAAAAAAAAAAATCTTTCTTACAGAAATTGCTAGCTCAGAAAATTTTTAAGGAGCCAGCTTTATATAATTAAGGTGAATCTTTAGACAAGTTAGACTAGTTTAATAATTTTTATTTACAAAACATAAATACCAGGTTATTAAGTATGAAATGTCTGATTTCCTTAATTATTAATACTAAGTTTGACAGTTGATATCTCTGACATTTCATTTTGACACTTCTCGTTTTATGTTTATTGTGAAGGTACATCCTCAGTCTTTTAAATGCACATTTTGGCTTGTGATTGTCTTTCAAATTTTTTTACAGCAATTTTTGTGAAACCACGGATAAGTCAAAAAATCATGTTATTTTCGAATATGAGTTCCCTTGGAACTCATATTCGATGCAGTGCTGACAGCTCAAAATATCAAAGAAGTGTTTGGCAAGGATGTGGCTAATGAACACACAGTTTTTTGATGGTTTGAGAAGTTCCGTTCTGGTGATTTTAATCTTGAAAATGAGGCATGTGGTCGACCTGAAACCACGGTGGATAATGATGAGCTGAAAGCTGTAGCGGAAGCAAATCCATCTCATCCTACATGTGGATTAGCAGCAAGGTTTGATGTTACTATTCCAATAATACTGGACCATTTGAAACAAATCAGCAAGGTAAAGAAGCTGGATAGATGGGTACTGCATGAATTAAACGAGTGTGTCAGCAGAGAAATCATCTCGAAGCTTGTCTTTCTTTGCTGTCATGACATAAAGGTGAACCACTTCTACACCATATTGTTATGTGTGATGAAAAATGGATTCTTCTTGACAATCGCAAGCGTTTGGCACAATGGCTGGATAAAGACGAAGTGCCGAAACACAGTTCAAAACCTAACATTCATCCAAAAAAAGCTAATGGTGTCTGTTTGGTGGTCCAGAGCTAGTATTATCCACTACAGCTCCATGAAACCTGGTCAGTCGATTACAGCTGATGTCTACTGCAACCAACTGGATGAAATGATGAGGATGCTTGCGATTAAGCAGCCAAGATTGGTCAATAGAGACGGGCCAATCCTCTTGCAAGACAACGCTCGACCACATGTCTCACAACCAACGCTACTCAAACTACAGAAACTGGACCTGGAAACACTCTGTCACTCACCATTAAGATGGAAAACTGTGTCGATGGTTAGGCACAGACTTTGATTTATTGTACTGCTTCTTGTTTGAGACATAATAAACTGCACTTTTGATTCAAAATCGGACATTTCATATTTAATGGCTTTAATAGCTATGTTTTATGTGTTTTATGTTAAGTTTACATTTTATTTTTTTACAAGATCTGTATTTGTTTTTTGTGAAGAAATTAATCTGAATTTTCTATACTTCCTATTTTGGCTTACTGATCAAATAAGCTAACATTATCTTTACATATGTCTAAGATTTTAAAAATGTCAATTTGTGTTCAATTAAATTGATTCATTATTCTAAAAAATAAATTTTCTATCAACAGTAATTATATTTTATAGTGTGTCACCTTAAACACAATTTCCAAGATTCTTAGATAACTTTAAAAACCTGAGTTAATATTGTTACATTAATTGATAAATAATTTTTGGCTACCTGGATAATTTTTAAGAAAAATTTAATACTGAAACATTGATTCTAAGCAAAATTTTAAGTTTATGTCTTTTTTCTGCTCATTCACACGTCAATAAGTGAATTCATTTTTGCTACTTTAAAATGTTGTGCCAGGGAGAGCAGGACTCAGACGTTTGCACACCCGCATTCTCAGCCCTGCCCGAGACAGCCCAGAGATGGAAGCAGCCCAAGTGCTGCCGACGGGTGGATGGGCAACAAAATGGGCTGTATGTGTACGACGGGATCTTATTTAGTCTTACAAAAGAGGGAAATTCTGACGCATGCTACAACATGGATGACCTGGAGGACATTCTATTAATGAAATAAGCCGGTCACAAAAAGACAAATGCTGTGTGAGCCCGCCTATACGAGGTATCTAGAGTGGTCAAATCTATAGCGACAGAAAATAGAACAGGGGTTACAAGGAGATGGGGAGGAGGAATGGGAGTTGTCATTTAATGGCTATGGAGTTTTGGTTGGGGAAGATGGAGAAAGTTCTGGAGATGGATGGGGGGGATGGTTGTACAACACCGTGAATGTACTTAATGCCACTAAACTGCCCACTTAAAAATAATTAAGATGATAAATTTTATGTTATGTATATTTGACCACTATTTTTTCTAAAAGGCTGTGTTAGGGCTACGTGTGGCGGTAGAAAGTTGTAATATGTGTATTTGTGAGCTTTGCTATTAGTAGTCTGCTAAAATGCTTTCCCTCGTTCTTTCTGTGAAAGCACTTGATTACCTTGGCTAAAGTTACAATCGCTACAGCTGTTGGAGACCTTACCTGGAGTATAGTGACAGAGAACACAACTGTGCCTGCAAGGAAAATGGGGTGTGGATTTGTCCGAAAGTATCTGGTCATTCTGGAACATGGAAAAGGATGAAAGGCAAAACTTGAATGGATAGAGGGTTTACTGGAAGGAAATTTTATTTTCCTTGATTTATATTAATAATACCTGAGTCTGAAAATAAGCTATGAAATAGATTAACATTTTGCCAAATTTGTCTCAGTTTTAATGGGTTTAAAAATAAAAACTCATAAAACCTTTACTGCCGTGTGTTCTATTAATGCAAAAACTAGAATTTGCCTTCATCTCAACTAAAATAATAAATTGGTTTTAAAGCTCTTAGCAAGAGTTAAAAGAGGTTACTATTTCTCTTCTATGTAAGCTGCCCAGATAGCAGAAATTCCCTGTCTCACCAGGATAATTTTCTATGCTTTGCTTTGACCTTATTTTGTCCTAATTTAAAAAAAAAAAAACAAACAAAAAGCAAAGGCAACCCCTTTGTAAAAGGGCTAAATACTCCTGTAATCATATCGCATTCTCCTATGTTTATTTTCAAAATATTTCATTTTATTGTCACTTCAATTAATCAGATAACCTAGTACTATTTGTTGGGCTCCCATGATCCTATCTTAATCTAGTGCCCAAACCTCCTCTGACAGGCCTTTTGATTTTGCCTTCCCAAGATCAGATCTTAAATTGAGAAAAAAATAAAATAAAAATGTTAGGATATCTTTCTCTATATTTATTAAACACCTCAACACTATTATAAGAGCATCACAGAAAGAATGGTCAAATCAGAAGAGCTATTCAGTCTCTCCTAGGCTAAGATTACATAGGCGAAATGCTATTAATATAAATATTTCAGAAATTGCATGCCTATAGAAAGGCTCTGGAATTTCTCAATGCCTTTGCTATCCATAGTATATTCTTAATTAACTTCAGAGGAAATACTGATCAAATTTTCATGAAATAGTTATGTCCTGTATCCCAGCAGAGAATTTTACTCTCCTCCCTTCTGATGGTATTAGGTATTGTAATAAACCACAGCCTGTCAATCTCATCACGAGACACGTTTCCGCTTTCCTATCCCTGCCTGAAGGCTCTGTTATCAGCTGCAGGTCACAGTTCGTGTCTTCAGCAAAGAGGGGCAAACTCAAAGACTGGAGAAGAAGAGCTGTGCCAGGTTCTGTAAACTATTTATGCTTCACTTGGGTACAAGCTTCTGAGATGACCGTGGATGACCTTCAGACCGAGCTAGTGGACTGAGGATTTCTAGGACTTTTTTGAGCCCAAGAGCAGACAGCTTACCCAAGATCCCGCAGAACAAAACTTAATTACGTGGCACGAAAGGAACAGATGAAGGAAATCTAGTTGTCGTTATTTGTCGGAATATGGTAGGTATTATTTTTTATTGTTTTATTTTAACAGTTCTGTGAGGAAGTTCTTTTTCTGCCTCCTTAAACTGTTTCTAATCCTCAGTTTAGCAGATTATACTTTTGTAAACTGAAATTAAACATTTTAAGTGGAATCTGAATCTCACTGACCCCCCTCTTCATGATTCAGAAACCAATAGTTTTTTTTTCAAGTTGTTGTCTTTTATTTTAAAAGAGAGAGGAGGTGTTAACCTAAGTGATGTTGAACTTTGTTGAGATAAAATCAGACACCATGTTGGCTGGAGGGAGATACCACATAGCAGAGTCACACTGTCTGGGGTTAGCTTTCTTAAGTTTCTCCCAGTTTTTTTAAAAAATTTTTTTATTTCCAAATATTATGAGGAGAAAACAATACTGTTATTGAATCTCCTTACTTTCCATGGCAACATGTTAATAGTTATTTTTATAGGTTCAATAGACTCTATCCTCCTTTTTTTCCAGGATATAATTGGATAAATCAATTGGGCAACCAAGGCCCTACCTGGAGTGCCGTTTTATAGAATGATTCGGAACACCCACGGAGCCAGTGCCTGCAAGGTCCTGCCAGGACGCTGGCCTGGAACCACATGGTAGGAAGGCTGCCTCCTGGCAGAAGAGGGACCTTAGAAAAATTGGGGGCCTCAAGAACAGAGGAAGTCACTCAAATGCATAGGCGCTGCAGGTGACATCCAGTGGAGAGAGTGTCTCGGGCTTGGCTCTCTAGCCTTGGTACAGAAGTAGGAGGACCTCCGTGGCCCAGTTTGCCCAGGACTCTCCCAGTTTTAGGACTCAAAGTCCCACATTCCAAGTGCCCTTCAGTCCTTGGAAAACGGGAACAATTGGTCACTCAATAGAAGAGCAAACTACAGAGTTTTTAAAAATCCAGTCTAAGATTCCATATGAAAACTTCTGGACAGAAGCTAAAATGGCTCAATACTGTGAAGGTCTCCTTTTGTAGAGCAAATTCGAGGAGGCCACTATGTGTAATTTACAGCCTCGCTACACCTCTGGAAATAACCAAGCCCAACCTAATGAGACTTGCCTTTTATACATCAAGAAAAAGCTGTGGAGATTACTTATGATCACAGAAAAATTATCTGAAACTTGGAAATAAGGCAAAAAGTTAGACAGCACATTCTTTCAATATTATGCGGAGGCAAAGACCACCCAAGCATGGTCTAGACTAGAGAGATGGACTTCCTTCATTTCATTATTTTACCTTTAATTAAAAGTCCCAGACTTACTGAAGTTACTTGTTAACTTGTAGATTTTTATCCAGGAGAGATGAAAATAATTTTTGTCTATAGTACAGAACAGATAGCCCCAAAGATTTATGGGCTGTTGGACATTAGCCATTTTTTAAACTGAATTCAGCAATCTTATCCTAACACTTTTCTGTCAAATTGCCTATAAATATCCTAGCTTCTCAAATGCTCTTTGAATCAGTCATAACATCTTACTGGTTTCCTCATTAATTATTAATAGTAATTCATTAGATAAGACCTTTGATAAGTGTTGATTTTATATTAATATTTACTCAGAAGTCTTTCTTTTCTTTTCTTTTCTTTTTTTGAGTCTCTCTCTGTCACCAGTGGCATCATGATAGCTCACTGCAGCCTCAAATTCCAGGGCTCAAGCAATCCTCCTGCCTCAGCCTCCTGAGTAGCCGGGACTACAGGCACATGCCACCATGGACGGCTAATTTTTCTATTTTTTTTTTTTGGAGAGATGGGGTCTGACTGTGTTGCTGCTCAGGCTGGTCTCAAATTCCTGGCCTCAAGCAATCCTGCCGCCTCAGCCTCCCAAAGTGCTGGGATTATAGGCATGAGCCACCGGCCTCATTTTTAAAAAATTCTTCGAAAATTATATTTTAACATCAACTATTCACACCTTGTTGTGGCCCTGAGGGATGGACTATAGGGTCGGACGGTTGAGGAAAGGACAAAGTCTAGAGCATAGAGCAGCATCGGGGGAGACAGCAGGCCCAGGGGCACTCCAGCAATCCACATGGGCTCCTTTGTAGTGAATGGGGAAAAACCAAAGAAAAACTGGTCTAGGACATAGCCTAAGACTCCTTATTGGAACACAAAACCATGGTCCATGTTATATTTCATTGAAGTTTGCAGTCATCAACAGCGTTTGATTTCCAGGGCTCTGATTGCTGCCCAAGATAAACTTCTGTGCTCAACGAGCCTAAAATTATATACCATTTGCACATTACTTCTTTGGTTTAAAATCCCTTCCTTTGTTAAAATGCAAATGTTTCTGGAAGAAGGTAATACCTAAAGCCTTATCAGTCATTTACATGTTAGTATAAATAAATTCCTAGCCTTTTCTGAGAGCAAATTTTAGATGAGAGAAAGGGAAAACAATAGGCAAGCAACTGCCTTCCTAGGGTGGGAAGTCTCAGGAGGCTGCAGAAAAGAGATTTCGGGGGTCAGATGGGGCTCTTAGGCTCACCGCCATGTCCTCACGGGTGACAAAGCCCCTCTCCTTGGCACCACAGTCCTGGAAGAAGCCCTGCAGTTCTGCAGCTGCCTGAGAGGACCAGGACTCTGGCTCTGGGGCCACAGGGGCATCTTGGCCATCAGCTGGCTCTCTTGTCTGCCGCCGCCGGCTGGAGCCCAGTCTCCGGCCTTTTCGAGATACTTGCTGTCCACTCTCCATGGTCTGTTGGCCCTGGGGACAGAGAATAAGTGAGGGGGCACTGGGCTGCTGAACAGTCAAACCCTCTAATAGCTCAAACCCCTCCCTTGGCTCCCCATCGCCCTTGGGAGAAATCTGCCACGGGGGACGAAGCCCTGCCTGACCACCCAGCCAGGTCTCTGACCTCATCTCCCACCCACCCACGGCCTCTAGCACGTCCTGCTCGGGGCCTTTGCCCTTCCTAAGGTCCCCTGCCTGGACGCCCTTCCCTAAGCTGCCCACATGCCCTCATCTCCTGCAGGTTTCTCCCCAACCATCAAAAGTCTTCTCATTTTAGACAAAGTAGCATGAGAAAAAAGAAAAAGAAGTCTCTGACCATTAGATAGAATAGCGCCCCTGCAGGACACGTGCTGGTTTTGACCTGGGGAGTGGTGGCACAGACTTCTCCAGGATCTGCTGTCCGAGGGCCGGGAGCAGCTTCCTGAGCCGTCTCTGCTCCTCTGGCTCCTTGCCTCACATCTTGGCTGTGTCACAAGGACCGAGCCTGGCCTCCACCTGCACCTCCTCCAGCCTCTTCTCTCCCCAGCGCCGTCCCTCTGCCCCCTCCTGCACGCCGGCTGCGGGGAACCAGTACCTCCCTCAGGCAGCGCTGAGGGTCCTGCACCACTGGGCTCCTGCTTTGTCCTCCCCACCCCTGTGCCCTTGCGACCCGACCAGCCCACTGGAACCACTGGAGACCCTGGAATGCCCGACTCCCGCCCACCCTCCTGCCTTGGCCCCGAACTCCCCAGCTCTCACACCCCCTGCCCAGCTAATACCTTTCCTTCCTCCTTAGCGGCTGCCTTCCCTGCTGTCACCCCTGCACTCAAGCTGGGTCCAGTGCCCCCTTGTCTGTGACCCTGCTGTGCTTTAAATGTGTCTCCCAAAGGTCATGTGTTAGAAATTTGGTCCCCAGTGAGGCAGTGTTGGGAGGCAGGCTGAAGGGGAGGCGTCTGGGTCACGGGGACCCCACCCTCGTGAGTGGATTACTGTTACTGCGGGGAGGGCTCCTCACAAAAGGATCAGTTCAGCCCCCTCTTGCTCTCTCGTGCTCCCTCTTGCCCTTCCGCCTTCCACCGCGGGATGACACAGCAAGAAGGCCTCGCCAGCTGCTAGCCCCTCTATCTTGGACTCCCGGCCTCCAGAACTGCGAGGAAATAGATTTCTGTCCTGTCCCAGTCGCCCATTCTGGGGTGCTCTGCTACAGCAGCGCAAAGCAGGCTAAGGTCCCGGGATGCCCCAGGCTCCCCCTGGGGATGTCCGTGTGTCTTGGTCTGTGCTGCTCCCCAGCCCCTTGGCACGTAGTAGGTGCTCAAGTAAGGGTCGTCAAATTTAGTAATTGGGGCCCTTTATCTGTCACTGAAGGTCAGGTGAGGCCCCGAGGGCAAGGAAAAGGGAGCTGGGTCTGGAAGGGGTAGAGCCCGGCCTGCCCCTGGGAGAAGAAGTCTGGGGCACATAAAACCGGATGCGGCAAGGACGTGCAGTCCAGAGGGCCAGGGCAGCTGCCCGCGGATGGCGGGACTTGAGCAAGTTCTAAAGGAGGCGCAGCGAACAGATGTGTGAAGGAGCTGAGAGGGCACAGCAAGCTGTGCCTGGCAGAGGGAGGACACGCCCCTCGGGGCTTTCTCTACCGGGGCCAAAGGCCACAGACAGGCTGAGTGGGGTGGCCAGAGGGCTATGCTTCGGGCATGGCGGGCTCCTTCCAGCAGGGCTGGACTCCCTGGCCTGGCCTCCCCTTGGGCAAGTTTCCTCCCACAGGCTGCACAGGACTTGAATGAAGCAATTCCTCACCCTGGGGAGGCCCCAACTTCAAAGTGAAGGAGAGTCAGTCGGTTCTCTCTCTCTCTCTCTCTCTCCCGTCAAAGTCTGTTTCAGATGCAGTTTTAAGATCATACATTTAAAACCGCAGTGATGTGCTGGAGTCAGACATGAGGGGCTCATGAGAGCCAGGTGTGCGGGTCTCTTGCCGACTCAGTGGCTTGCAATTGGCCTCTGTGGGAGCATTTACACCACGGGAACCAGCAAATGCTAAAAACCAGGGCACTGCCCCCACCGAAGAATAGTTACCAGCGCACCTCTCCTGAGATTTCCTTCTGCCCCAACTCTTCCCAAGCTCTATCATGCACTTAAGCGACAAGCATTTACTCAGCACCAACCGAATGCCAGCACAATGCTAAGCAGGCCTGCCATGATCCATATGTTTCCTTTAGGTGAATTAGGAAAAGGCAGTTCTTCCTCGTGGCAGACACAGCCCAGTGCCAGGTCTGACAAGTGGAATATGGACTGGACTCCAGTCCCCACTTGTGCAGACACAACCTGCACACCCAAGCAGAGCCCTGGCCCTGTACGGATAGGTGTGACTAACTCCTGGTCTCCCCTAGAGCCACTCACAGACTCACAGGAAAAGACACAAGCATAATTACAGTGCAGCATGGAAGGGGCAGCAAACCAATGTGTCAAGTGCTGGGAGAGCACTGAAAAAGGAGCAACTCACTAGTCAGGAGGGCTCCCTGGTGGAGGCGACATAGCTTAGCCGTGAGCTCCAGAGCAGGAGAGATCATACTCGACCCTGGAACCCCTCATGGGGCCCGGCCCTGCTCTGGGCATGCACTGGGCTCTCAGGTCCTTACTACTTGCTCCACTGACTCACGCTGTCCTCCAGAATGGGGGATGTTCTCCTGGACAACTGAATAGACTCTCAAAAAATGTTGATGTTGTAAAAGAAAAAATGAGGCAGGAGATAGTTCTATCTTCAAGAGACTAAAGAGAAATGACACATAAATATAATGTGTGATCCTTAATTAGATCCCCTTTTAGAAAAAGAGAAAAAAGCAGGAATAAAGAACATTTTGGTGACAACTGGGGAAATTTGAATTTGGATTATACATTAGATGATATTAAGCAATGTGGAATTTCTTAGGTGTGAGAAAGTTTGGTCGTAGTCATGTGGGAGACTCTCCTTGTCTCTAAAAGATGTGATGAAGCAGCTAGGGATGAAGTGTACGATGCTTGCAATTTACTTTCAAATGGTTCCAAATAGATGCATAAACAAGCAAACAAAAACCGTGTGTGTGCGTGTGAAGAGAGCGCGGATGGGGGAAACGTTAGCCTTCAGTGCAACAGCATTCATTGCAGCATTTGCTCAACTCGTCTGTAGATCTGAAAGTCTTCCAAATAAAAAACAGCGAGGAAAAAAGCCAAGAATGAGATTCCAGGGATGTGAATAAGGAAGTCCCCATGCTAATCTAACTGTCCTTGACCCAGTATCTCCCACCCTCCACTCAGCGCCACGTTGCCCCATAGAAACAATGGCCAGGTGGGCACCCCTCCTTGGGCCACATCTGTCCACACCCAGAAAGCCACCACCCATCTCCATTCACCATCCCCCTAAGAGGGGAGCCCCCTTCCTCCATGCCCCCGTGACGCTCCAGAGACTAATGGGGCTTGGCCTGGCTTGTGGGTTACAATCAAAGAAAGACTCACTGAGCCTCAGCACTGAAAGGAGGTAGTCCCACTCTCCCAACCTAGAGATGTGGGAAGGAGGGTAAGTGACTTCCCAGTGCTCTGAAGTTAGACAGACTTCTGTCTCTCCCAGCTCTGCTGCTCATTAGCTGTGCAACCTTGGGCAAGTCACTTAACATCTCTGTGCCTCAGTTTCCTCACTGGAAATATGGGATAGTATCTACCTCACAGGGTTGCTATGAGGATGAGACAAGATAAAGTCGAAACACCACTTCCTATTCCCCAGCGTGGCCCACCTGCATTTCCTGCTTTACTTTTTCCTAGCATTTCCCAGAATCAAGTCTTTTCCTCATTTATTTTATAAATTTTCCATCTACTGTTACTAAAATATAAGCCTCCTGTGATTCGCGAGTTTACTCTTTTATTCCCTGCTCTATCCCAAATGCCTGGAGCCATGCTTGGCCTACAGCTGGTGCTCAGCAAGTATTTGTTGAGTGTATGATCCACGTAAAGCACTTACAACTGTGCTTGGCATGCAGTGACCGCTGGGTAAAGGCAGCGGTGACAACAGTGGTGATGACATTGATGAGGGTGAAATTCTATTTAAGCCACATAAAAGCTGGCTTCTGTACAGATACAATTTATCCCCATTTTACAGATGAGGAAACTGAGGGAGGCTCCACGAGGCAGAGTGACCTGCCCAAGCCATGATGTCAGTAGTAGAGCTGGCACCAGATTTTGCTCTCCTGGTTGGCTGGGGATGGACTTGCCCAAGACCACTTCTTGGGGAGGCAGCTCCTCAGTGGGCAGAAGGCCCCTTTGGGGATCACAAATGCCCTGGGGGGAGGGACAAGAGCTTTGGAGCAGGGCGGACGTGGGCAGGCTTTGCTCACGTGGTGAGACCCAGTCACGGTACTTGCAAACTCAGACCAGTTTCTCGTGTACTTCCGGAGATAAAATGCACAAGGCGGCAAGATAAGATTCCCAGTGCAGAAGCCTCCAGAACTGAAGCGCTGGGGGAAGAGCCCACTGTGGGAGCCTAGAACCGAGTCTGCCAGGCTCCCAGAGTGACAGAAGTTAGAATCCTGCAGTATGTTTCCTGCAGCCACATCCTGGGATGCCGGGCGCTCTTGACCGGGCCTTTGGGGAGTTCCCAGCCAAGCTGCACCTCTGCAGCCGCCCATTTCCAGCACCTTCCGGACACCCACCCAGCCGCCACCCTGCCAGGGGCCTCAGCATCTGCCCTCTCGGCCAGTCAATGCTTCTCTCCCAGGAGGGACACTCAGCGGTCCCCTCCTTATCTGTCAACAGGTGCCCTACGGCCATCACTGCCGCAAAGTTGGTCACTCGTCACCATCAGTCAGGATGGTACCCCCCACCCCTCACGTTCTGATCAGTCACAGCACCCATCACGGTGTTACAGCACACCCTGAAAACAGTCTGCGCCCCCTCTTGGCCACTCAGCGGCGACATCCTTCAGTCGGTGTACGCATGCGCACGTGCCCATGTGCACGCGCACACTCCCTCCTGCGCGTCCCTCGGTCCCTCCCCGCCGGCCCCGTCAGACACAGCGCCCCGCGCGGCCGGGCGGCGCTGCGCAGGGCCTGCTCGGTCAGCTCCAGCCGCAGGGCGCCTCTGCCAGCGCCCTGTCCTCCGCCACGTGCCCTTAGCGGGTCGTCGCACCTCACGCCCTTAGCAGTCGGAGACCCCCTCCCGGCCCCTCGGCGCTGCCACCCCTCCCCACACCCCGCGCCTTCGGGTGCCTCGGCCTCCCGTCTCCTTCACTCTGTCACCAGAGGGGCTGGGGACGGGGTCTGCCCTGCCTGCCGCTGACCTCCTGACTGCAGGTAGCAGCCTTAGTCACTGAACAAGATTGCCAAAGTTGCTGGGCCTGAGAGACCACCTAGTGCCTTGTTCTAGTCTACTTGTCCTTCCTCCTACCCGCACTACCTGATAGGGAAACTGAGGCTCTGGGAAGCCAGGTGACTTGCCCAAGGTCACGCGGCCTTTTAAGGGTAGCAATCGACCCCAGTCTCCGGCCCAAGTGCCCTCACTGCCCCGCGCTAAACATGCAGAGGGCTCCAAGTGCGTGGGAAAGAGGGCTCCCCCCTTGCACCCGTGTCACCGGAGCTAGACAGGGACCACAGCTCCTCCACCCTCATCCTCCAAAGTGAAAGAAGCATTGCAACTCTGGGGTGATTCCCACCTCTCAAAGGCTCCCAGTCGGACACGCAGCCCCGCGCTCCTGGATCTGGTAAACAGGTGACCGCTGCCCTTCGGAGCCCACGAGCTTTGCGACTGTTAACAGTCCTGTCTCTTGCTTAATCACCCTTTCCGTTCCCCGGCCAGCCAATCTCCTGTGCTCATCTAGGGGACTTCCTGTGGAAGCAGCCACTGGCTGTCCTTTCACAATCTTGCCTCGTGCCCCTGCCCTGGTATGTTGGAACTGGAGGATGCTGGGGCCGGCAGGGGGCCCCTTCTAAGCAGAGGCTCCGAAGGGTGAGGTGGACTGCTCAAGGTCACCCAGCCCTTGGTGGCACAGCCAGAACTTGGGCCTGAGTCTCTGGTCCCAGCTAGCAGGTTGACGGGCATGGCTGTGGCTAACGCTGGGCATAGGCAGTGCTCTTTGGACCTCAGGGGAGGCTTATATCTAAGTCACCTTTGAGGGAAGAGTCTAACCTGATACCAAAATATATTGTAGAGCTACAAGCATCAGATCAGTGTGGTACTAGAACACGAGTATAGGTGGATGAATCAGTGGAACAGAATGCAGAACAGACAGGTAGAGACTCAAATATGCATGGGAACTAACTTAGTGTATGATAAAGGCACCACGTCAAATCACTGGAGAAAAGATGGTTTATTCAATAAACTGTGCTGGGAGAATGAGCTAAGTATTTGCAAAAAACAAAGTTAGAGTTCTAACTCTAAAATCATTCCAGATGGATCAAAGGTATAAGCATTTTAAAAATCACAAAATTCTATGTTGTTTGGAATTTGCTTCAAAATAACTGAGGGGTGGGGAGAATGGATGGGGTATAAATGACACAAGATTCATTATATTCTTTTCTCTTGTGGGTGTTTGAACAAATGCCGTAAGAAATCAGAGGATAATTTTTAAATAATCTTGGATCGGGCAAGGCCTTTCCAGGTACATCACAAAGCATCAGAAGCCATAAAAGAAAAGATTGAGACATTCAACTGTATAGAAATTTTTTTAAGTAAATAAAACACTTCAATGTCAAAAAAGTCACCACTGACAAGTTAAAAGGCAAACAAACTGAAAATATTTTCACATATCACAGAAAACAAGCTAATTTCCTTTCTGTCTAAAGAGCTCCTACAGATTAATGAAAGGCCAATAATGCGTTAAAGAAATTGGTAATGTATATTAATAGACAATTCATAAGGAAAGAAATACCAATGGCCTTTAAACATGAAAAAATGTTTAATCATAATGAGAGAAATTTTTAAAAACTGCAAAGAGATATCATTTTCAGCTATCCAGTTGGTAAAACTGAAACAAAATTGATACGTTGTGTTATAAAGGATGTGGGAAAACACTTTCACAAATTGTTGGTAGGAACATACACTGGCACTCCTTTTATGAAAAGAAATTTGCACTATCAACATTTAAAATGCAAAACTCTTTTTACTGGGCAATTTCGTTTCCAATCATTTGTCCCACAGATGATACACAATATGATAATATAGAAGGACGTTCATTACAACGTCGCCTGTAGCAGCAAAGGACTGGAGATGACCTAAATTCCCATCCGCAGGGCACTGAAGCCGGGCGCAACGGCACGTGCCTGTGGGCCCAGCCACTCAGGAGGCTGACGCGGGGAGACTGCTTGAGCCGCAGAGGTGGGGACCAGCCTGGGAAACAGCGAGAAAATAAAACAGCGAACTGGGCAAATCAGCTCTGATACACCCGTACGATGGCGCACTGGGCAGCTGCGGGAAAATGCGAAAGATCCAGGTGGACGGACACGGAATGACCTTCCAGGTACAGTGTCGAATGAGAAAGGTGCGAAATAGCGGGTTCAGTGCGCTTTGCATGGAGAAAAGCATGTCTGCGTGTACGAAATGTATGCAACAGATAAACACACACGTTCATACATGTTTATAAACGCGTAGATTGTTTCTGACAGGATATACAAGAAACTAGTCACAGCTGGGCTGGAGGGAAGTGGTGTAGGGATGACGGAGGAGGGAGATTTATGTCTCGCTGTTTACTTTCTACATAGTTTATACTTTGTACCATTTTTGCACATCACCTAGTCAAAAGTAAATTCAAGAATAATTTGTACTTATGCAGAGAGTGAATGATGAAGAAAACAGTAAAATATTAACATTCAGGGAATGTTAGTAAAGGGAAGATGGGGATCATTTTACTATTTTTACGACTTTATGTTTGAAATTACTTCAAAACAAAAAGTTTTAAAAGTTAATAAAGTTAATTGCTAAACAATGAATATTCTCACAACCAACCATCCCTTTTACCCCTTTTTACAGCTGAGGAAAGTGATACTCAGAGAGTTTCTAGGGCTTACCTGAAACAAATAAGGTATTCATTTATTTATTCAACAAATAATTATTGAGCACCAGCGTGTGCTGGACACTGCTAGGCACGGAGGATATAAAAGGAAAGCAGACTGAGGGACAGAGTGGGGGTGGGCGCGTGTTTAAGATGGGTGCTCAGAGGAAGGCCTGTCTGCGGAGGTGATATTGGAACAGAACGTGTGAAAAAGAAGATCTGGAAGAGTGTTCAGGGATAGGGAACAGTGCGTGCAAAGGCCCTGAGGCAGGAGCATGCTCTGTGCACTTGAGGAACAATGAGGAGACCCGTGTGGCTGGAGCACATGGGAGAAGGACGAGTGGAGAAGAGGTCAGAGGAAACAGTAGGCTATGTAAGGATTTTATTGTAAATGAGATGCATGCTCCAACTTAGGTTTTATTTATTTGTTTTTAATATGAAGTGGGAGAGTGAGGAGGAGGGTTCAATTTCCTCTTTTTTTTTTTCTGAGACAAAGTCTCACTGGCCCTGGGTAGAGTGCAGTGGGGTCATGGTAGCTCACTGCAACCTCAAACTCCTGAGCTCAAGCGATCTTCCTGCCTCAGCCTCCCAGAGTGCTAGGATCACAGGCGTGAGCCACCGCGCCCGTCCCCAACTTAGGTTTTAAAAGGATCCTGCTGGCAGCTGTCATTCTGGAGAGTGGACTGTCCTGGGCAAAGGCAGAAGCAGGGAGACCAGGCAGCAGGCCGTTAGTTACAACAATGCAGACAGGAGGTGATGGCATGGACCCAGAGGGCAGCGGTTGGAAGGGAAGATGGGAGGTGACTGGACTCTGGCTGTATGCTGAAATGTTGCCAGCACCGTTTGCTGCTGGATGGGGGCCAATGCAACAAATCCAGGACCTTCTTTCCAGCAAGGGCTCTCTCTGGTTCCCTGAAAACAGAGTGAGTTTGGATTTTTAAGACCCAACCTCAGGATCTCGAGGCATCCTCAGTTCATTTGCCCTCACCCTCGCCGGCCCAGCTCCTGGCCATGGAGATAAAAGGGGCGGGGAGTGTGTTTTGAAGCTGCATTTGTGTGGCACTTTATGTAAGATGGAGAAAACCTAAGTTACATCAAAGACTGAGGAGGGACACAGAAACAGATGGGTCCCCGCAAGTGTCCCCTTAGAACCATCACGGTGGCAGTGGCCCTGGGTGAGGCACTTCCCCCTCTGGTTTGTGGAGCAGGCAGTGCGACCTGGAGTCATCAGCATGGCTATCCTGGCTCCTGGCCACGTCCTAGGGGCGCGACCTCAGGCAATGGCCATGTTCACCTAAAGCTTTGGCAGCTAGCTCTTGGCGGGCTAATGACTTCCCATCTCAAATGTCTGCCTCCCTCGGTTTTCTTCAGCAGCACGGGAATCTGTCCCACCTGTGAGGAGCCACCGAAATGGGGCCCGGAGGCAGCCCCAAATCAACGATGGACAGTCCGAGGTAAGTGTCGCAGACGCCCGGTGAGTACTCCAGGCCTCTCCAGGGAGCAGGCACCGCGGGGTGTCCTCAGAGGCTCCCTCACAGGTGCAAGCCCTGGCTGCACACAGTGGGATTGCTCAGCGACACCTTTATTGGCTTTTTCCTTTTCTTTCTCACATTCCCTACTTTCCTGCTTGTGCTTCCAGGGACTGCCTCCCAAATAAGCCACCCACACACAGGTCCTTGCTCCAGGCTGCTTTGGTGGGGGGAGGGAATAAGACAATCGATACCAGAAATGGCAGAAAGCAGGATGGACTTCCGATAACAGATCCCTTACCAGTGAGTGACGATGAGGACTCAAATGCTGGTGATGACTAGGGAGGTGACAACCCCCGGCAGGCTGCAGCATCCCAGTGTCCAAGACTTAGCTGTGTGTGGTGGATTGGGATGGGGTGCAGGCAGAATTCCAGGGCAACACTGACTTGTGCCAGTCTAACACTTGAAAGATACAGGCAATAGTAATTATAAGGACTGTGGGCCGGGCGCGGTGGCTCACGCCTGTAATCCCAGCACTTTGGGAGGCCGAGGCGGGTGGATTGCTTGAGTCAGGAGTTCAAGACCAGCCTGAGCAAGAGTGAGACCCCGTCTCTACTAAAAATAGAAACAAAAAATTAGCCGGGCATGGTGGCTTGCTCCTGTAATCCCAGCTACTCGGGAGGCTGAGGCAGGAGGATTGCTTGAGCCCAGGAGTTTGAGGCTGTAGCGAGCTGTGATGATGCCTCGGCACTCTAGCCTGGGCGACAGAGTGAGACTCTGTCTCAAAAAAAAAAGGATTGTGGAGTCGGTTGGCTTTCGCTAACTGCCCTGCAAGCCTTGAAGAAAGAAAATGACAGGCTCGAATCAGGGCTTGTTGTGGGAGACAGGAAAACTCCGTGGGGGCATTCTCCTCATCTCTTATGGCCCGAGGACGAGGATGGGCTGTGCTGAAAATCAGGTCCAGGATCTGATCATAGAAGTGCGGGAGCTGCAAGAGAGACGGAATGCACGGCCTCAGCAGACCTGCTGTCCTAGCGTCAGAATCCCGACAGGGAAAGAACGGGCGCGGAGACCTGGCTGGAGGTACGTGGGTGAGTGCACTTGGGAACCTGGTGCCCTGAGCTTCCCCTAAACCCTCCGCGCCTGCAGAAGCGCCCCTCTCTTGCTAGAGGAGAACAATCTCCCATTTCCTGCAGACCACATAAAGGACTCGCCGGAGGTGGGTGCCTCACAAGGTGATGCTTGTCTTCCTCAAGATCCAGTCTTCCTTTGCTGCCTCCAGACCAGGCTTAGCAAACATTTTCTTAAAGGGCAAGATAGTAAATATTTTTAGACTTGCAGGCCACATAGCCTCTGTTGCAACTACTCAATTCTACTTTTGCACTGTTTAACAGTGCAAAAACAACTGTAGACAACAGGTAAACATATGGGCATGTCTGCCTCCCAACAAAACTTTATGTACAAAAACAGGCGGCTGGTCCATGGAGCTGTGGTTTGCCTACTCTAGACTATAATTAGGTTCATGTCTTAACATTTCCCAAACAGGAAAACATAGTCCCTGTTACTGGAGGAAATAGTTTATTCACAAAAAAGCTACAGGTCTGGCTGATCTGTATTAGCAGGAATAGGAAAACATAGGGGAGATCGTGAGGGCGTGGGATGGGGCTGAGAGGAGATGAGGAAGACAGAGCTGGGTAAAGAGAGTGTCGGGAGCCACTCTGTCTTTGCTCCAGATTTTACATCGTGGTAAGACCACCTGGAGCTGGCCTTAACACACTGCTGAAGTGGTCCTTAGAGCTTAGACACAACGGTGGCCTACAGTTCATGAAGTAGCGACGCTGACACTGCCTTGGAACAGTACTAAGGAGGGGCTGGAAGGCTCAGAGAGGAGGACCCAGAAGACCTTCCCTTCTCAAAGCAGGAAAGAATGCACCAGTGAGAGGAGCTCAGTGCTGGCCAGGTTAGTTGACGAGATGTGACCATGGCATGCCGTGGCCACTGTCAGTGCAGATACTGAGACTCTGGAAGAGCAGAGACCACATAGGGCCACTTAATCATCAGAGGCAAGGTGGAGACAATTACATGACAGGCAGCAAGGCCTGAACAGTGACCAGGGGTCCTTATCTGCAGGGCTCTGTGGCAGTGTCCCTAGGGTAAGAGAGGTGAGCATGCAGTGAGTACTGCTTGATTTAAACACAAAAGATCAAGGGTGAGTGAGCAGAGGCTGATGTCACAATAGAAAATTGCAATCTCTCACCCAGTTTTCAGATTTGAGCCAATTCTCAGCCCCAGGGCCCACTGATTGACGGGAAAGACCCATAATGCCACTATAAGTATATAAAATAAATATTTCCCCATTCTTCCCCCAAGTGCCCTCTGGCCACTTACCAGAATAGTTGCACAGTGTGGAAAAGGGAAAAACCAGATCTTTTGAGGTCTGTTGGATCCAGGGTCAGAGCTTATCCTGGGGCTAGGTGACCCAAGACACCAGCATAGCCTCCTTTTGGGGGGGGGAACATCCGAGCCCAGGTGACAAACGGAGTCCCAGCCAAGTTCATCTCTGCGTGGATCCAGTGAGTTTGCAGACCCACCCTGTGGCTATTTCCTAGCCCCTGAGTGCGAATCGGGATGGGCAGGCTTAGCAGATGGCAGAAGTCTCACACTGGTTCCCTACTCTGTGGAATGGGAGACATTATGAAAAGAAAGACCACGTAGAAATCTCTAAAATGATCCCACTGGTCAAAATTGTAAATTGGAAGCAATGCCACATCCCAGGTAAAATTGCAGACATTAGTGACACCCCCAAAGACTTAAAGAATGCTGAGGTGGTGGTTCCATCATGTCTCCATGGGCCCCACCCCATATTGTCCCTGTGAAAACCAGGCGAAGCATGGTGATGGATGGTTACCCACATGGCAGCCCTGGTCACGGCCATTATATTGGATATGATATCCTTACTAGAATAGTTGACACAACCTCTGACTATTAGAAGCCAATAATATAGGAAATGCGTTCTTTTCACTCCATACCAGGAGACGGGATCAAAAGTGGTTCACATGCACACTCCCTACAGCAATCCGCAGACCTATCACGTTAGTTAAGTTGTCAGTGGTCAGATGAACTGGGGCATGCTGGGACATTACCTCTATGGTAAAGGACAACTTATTATCTCTTGTAGCTACTATCATCTTTTAATTTGGATTTTGGAGGCAATATACTAAATACTGCTCCAGCCCATGTATTGGATGACTTCGTAAGCTGCCACGTTTGAATGAAGTCCAGAGCAAGAGAGGGCTCTAAGACAGGTGCATGCTGGGAACAGACACTTGGGTCATACAACCCAGCATACCCCATGGTACTGGGTACCATGGTACCCAGTACAGCCATGGTACAGCATGGTGCAGCATATCTATGGGACAAGAACAGTGTGAAGTCTCTGGAAAGCCCCAGTGGGAAAGTCTGCTATCAGAACCCCGGGATTCTGATTTGAAGCCGTGCCCTGTGCAGCAGAGATTTAGCAACATTTGAAAAGTAACTCTTGGCCAAATTGCACAATTGGGAGCAAATAAATTATTGTTTTAAGTCACTAAGTCTTGGGGTGGCTAATTATGAAGAGATAATTAGAACATACATGTAACACTACTTTGTTCTTTTTCACGTTGTGTAATATTCTACTCTATAAATATACTGCAATTTATATAACGATTCTTCTTTTATGGACATTTTAGCTATTTCTAGTTTGGGTCTGTTAAGAATGATGCTGCTAGGAATATCCTTATATGTGTCCACCAAGAGTGGAGGAAATATGTGCTCATTTCTCTTGAGAACATACCTAGGAATAGAATTACTGGGTCAGGAGGTAGGCGTGAAGGTGGGCATCTTGAGAAGATAGCGCCAGTTTTCCAAAGCACTTGAAACATTTTACATTTCCAGTAGCAAGGAATGAGGAGTTCCAGTGGCTCCATGCCTTTGCCAACACCTGGCATCGTCAGTCTCGTTAATTTTCATCATTCCGGTAGGTGTACAGTGGTATCTTACTGTGGTTTTAACCTTCGTTTCCCCGATCAGTAATGATGTTAAGCCACGATATATTCTTTACAAACAAAGTGCACGACAAAGTGAAATATTGCAGAGGTGTGATAATAGATTGTGTTTTGTTGTTGTTTGTTTTTTGCTGCATAGTCCATTTGCTGAGCTTTCTGCATTTTAAAATTTTAAATGCTTAATTTTTAAAATTATGTACCCTCCCCAAAAGCTCATCTCTTTGTTCTTATAAACGACAAGGTATAATAACCACAACAGTAATATTATAAGTCACCAAGAAATATTTATTAAGCACCTGCTGTATACTCAGCACTGTGGCAGGGGCCGTGAAGGACACAGGGCAGTACAGGGCAGGGTCCCCACCCTTAAGAGGTTTACAGTCTAGGTGGAGAGACAGGGGGACCGGGACACATGGGAACCAAGAGAAACAGTCCAGGCCAGATGGTACAGGAGCTGGAGGTATCTGGGGTCAGACCCACCAGGTGCTTCGGCACCTCCAGGGCTCAGTGTTCAGCGTTCGCCACTCCCAGCCCCACGTTAGCCCCCTCAGCGTGCCCTGTCCACAGCCTCTACTCCCGCCATTAAGAACCTTCTGACTCCTTGTTCAGCTGCTTCTCAAAGTGCAATGAAATGGGGAGGGATGCGGCAGGTGGGGAAGGTCACTGGACAACTTCCAGGAGCTGGTGTCTCCCTCCTAGAAAGATCCATTCCCCTCGCCACACAGCCCAAACATGGAGAGACCCCCACTCAGGAGGCCTGTGCCGCCACCCAGGACCCCCAAGCCCACAGCTAAAAGAGGAGGCGGTGGTTGCTGCTCGAGCTGCCTGAGGTAGAACTAAGGAGCCCTTCTTCTACGTGTCCCTTCCCCTTTTAGTCCATTGAGTTGGGGGGACAGGCACCCCAGAGCTGCTAGCCAGGGCTGCGAGGGTACTGGGGGATAAGGACATGGGGACGGGAGAGCAGCAGAGGGGACTGGAGAGCCCAGCTGGGAGAGAGGGCGGCTGGGCCCCGGAAGAACACAGGAAGACCCAACACAGGGGCCTGCGGGGAGGGGGTGGCTTGCTCCAGGACCCCACCTTCCCCTCCTCCACAGGACAGACAGAGCAGGGCATCAAGAGCCAGGAGGGTGCCAGGTCCCCAGCCCTGTGCTTGGCTGTGCCACGTCAAGGGCCCCCTGCCCAGCCTCAGACGAGGTGCGGGGGCTGCAACGTTTCTGACGATGCCCCCACTCAGCTGGGCCCCCTTCAAAGTGCTGTCTTTTTACTTCTCAAATTAGAAGGAATTCAGGTCTGAGAGTCCAGGAAAGGGCGGAGTTCCGTAACGCCCACGAGACAGAGAGGAGGGAGCCAGGCCCCTCCAGAGAGCAGCGGGAGGGTGGAGGAGGAGGGCTGGCATGAAGCAGCCCCGCCTCACCCCCGGAGAAAGGAGATGAGCTTTAAATAACATTTCATATAATAAAAATACCCAGTGCTCCAATGAGCCTATCATCCTACTGCCTAGTTTTGTTTTAAATAGTTCTAATGCCAGAGGCTGGGGGGGGGGCGGAGAGGGCAGGCGGGGTATGTACACAGGAGCAGTTTAAATTAAAACACAAATAATAATTAAGACGCACAGTCTAAGGCAGAAAATGTGGAAGGAGCCTTCGATCGCCCGTATCTCCGGAGCGCCAGCCTCGGACGGCGCGTCAGGGCTTCCTCTTGGAGAAGATCAGCCGGCGTTTGGAGTGGTAGAAATCTGAGGAGAGAGAGCGCAAGTCAGCCCGGCCAGGAGGAGGACACGGCAGCGCCACCCCTCTGAGGCCAGCTGCAGCGGGGCGGGACACCCTCCCTGGGGCCAGAGGGGGCACCCACCACGCTCCACAGACGTGACAGACAATGGCACCTGCGGCACCTGCGCCTGTAGGTCTACTCCCAGCCAAGCTGCCCAGTGCGGGAGCCACTAGCTCTGTGTGGTTATTTAACTGGACTAAAATCAAAGAAAGTAAAAAATTCAGTTCCTCAGTCACACTAGCCACATGTCCAGTGTTCGACAGCCACACGCAGACAGCGGCCACCGCACCGGACACGTCCATGACCGTAGAGGGTTCTGTTGCACAGCGCCGAGATCTAGGGACTCCATGCGGCCATCCATGAAGAGTGCTGTGCACAATGGCCCGTATAAATGTCGTCGTTGTTGTTGTTAGTTCTGCCCCAGCTGCAAGTTTGCAGTGGGATTCTTGCCTTCCCCTCTCAGCCTCGGTTTGCCCACTTAGAAAATGAGGATAACCACAGTACAGTGCTGTAAGGATTAAACGGAATGCTCTCTATAAAGGCTTTGGTCTGGGCCCGGTGCGGCAAGTGCTCCAATGCCAGCATCATTCTTTCATCGTCATTCACCGACCCTGTGCCAGACCCTGCTCTAGGTGCCGGGGGCTCCGCAATGAACAAGAGAGATGCGGGTCCTTTCTCGTTCAGCTGACGGCCTGGCGAGGGACGTGGGCGGTATCGGGACACGGAAGGAGCTGTCTACCGGCAGTAAAACAGTGCCAAGGAGAACAAACAGGCGGCAAGGGGGTGTGTGCCAGGAAAGGGGAGTAAAGGCTGGATAGGGGAGCCGAAAATTAGTATCATTACTCTTCTTGCCACTGCAAATTCACGGTGGGACCTTAAGACAAATCCTCTCCCTTCCTGAGCCTTGATTCCTTGCTCTAGCAGGGTGGCCAGAATGTCTTACGGTGTCCGTAAGAACTAAAGGAAATCCACCTCAGAAGCACAGCACAGGGCCTGGCAGGTAGTAAGTCCCCAGTAAATGTGAGCGGCTAGTGTTGGCTGTGTGAACCAGGAAGGTTGCTTCCCCTCTCCGGCCTGTTTCCCTCCACCTAAGCCGCGAGCTGGACCAGCCAGGTCAGCCCTTGGACCAGGGATTCTGAGAGTCCTGGTCTCTTTTTTTTTTTTTTTTT